AGCAGCAGCAGCAGCCCTCACTTGCCCAGCCCCGGCGGCCTCCTCAGCGCCACCGGCCTGAAGCTGACCAGCCTGGGCTTCATCCTCTGCCTCAGCCTGGCTGGCAACCTGCTCTTCGCCTGGCTCATCCTGAAGGAGCGCCACCTGCACCGGGCCCCTTACTACCTGCTGCTGGACCTGTGCCTGGCCGACGGGCTGCGCTCCTTGGCCTGCTTCCCTTTCGTCATGCTCCCGGCGGCCTCCTCAGCGCCACCGGCCTGAAGCTGACCAGCCTGGGCTTCATCCTCTGCCTCAGCCTGGCTGGCAACCTGCTCTTCGCCTGGCTCATCCTGAAGGAGCGCCACCTGCACCGGGCCCCTTACTACCTGCTGCTGGACCTGTGCCTGGCCGACGGGCTGCGCTCCTTGGCCTGCTTCCCTTTCGTCATGCTCTCGGTGCACAGCGGGGCTGCCTCCTGGCCCCACGGGCCGCTCAGCTGCAAGGTGCTGGCTTTCCTGGCCGTCCTCTTCTGCTTCCACGCAGCCTTCCTGCTCTTTTGCGTGGGCGTGACCCGATACATGGCCATTGCCCACCACCGCTTCTACGCCAAGCGCATGACGGGCTGGACCTGCCTGGCGGTGGTGTGCATGGTCTGGACCCTCTCCATGGCCATGGCCTTCCCGCCCGTCTTCGACGTGGGCACCTACAAGTTCATCCAGGAGGAGGAGCAGTGCATCTTTGAGCATCGTTACGTGAAGGCCAACGACACTCTGGGCTTCATGCTCATGTTGGCCACGGTCATTGCCGCCACCCATTTGGTTTACGTCAGGCTCCTCTTCTTCATTCACAGCCACCGCAAGATGAAGCCAGCTCAATTGGTGCCGGCCATCAGCCAGAACTGGACTTTCCATGGGCCGGGAGCCACTGGCCAGGCAGCTGCTAATTGGACAGCTGGTTTTGGCCGGGGTCCCACTCCTCCGACTTTGGTGGGCATCCGACAGAATGCTACCCATAGCCAGATCAAGAGGCTGCTGGTCCTGGAGGAATTCAAGATGGAGAAGAGGATCTGCAAGATGTTCTACATGATCACGCTGCTCTTCCTGCTCCTTTGGTCCCCCTACATTGTGGCCTGTTATTTGCGTGTTTTCATGAAGGCCAGCACGATCCCGCAAGTTTATCTGACCACTTCTGTCTGGATGACCTTTGCCCAGGCAGGGGTCAACCCCATCCTGTGCTTCATTTTCAACAAGGAGCTCAGAGTTTGTTTCAGAGCTCACTTCCTTTGTTGCCAAAGCATACAGAATTCCCAAGGCACCATTTTATGTGATCTGAAGAATTTGGGGATGTAAATCCATCTTCCCGTTTACAGAAAACAATTGAATAATCTCCAAAATTTTGTTTTGTATATGCACTTGCAAGACAGTTGTCCAAGGAGATACCTTGACCTCCTTTCACCCATATGTTCTAGTTCTTTATCTACGTGCAAGATTTTTTTTTTATTATTATTATTATTATTATTATTATTATTATTATTATTATTATTATTATTATTATATGCACAGTGTGCAGAGTAAGGAGTAAGCAGGGCTCCAATTTGCTTGGCTGTTTCTAAGATTTCTATAAGTGATATTGTTATAGATGAAAAGGCCATACTTTTGTGTTAGTTTTTATCAAAACCAACAGGGTTTTGTTAAATTTAATTTTCAAAAACATCAGTCTTGATGTAAAATTTAATAATGGGCCATTTTTTTTACTAAAGTTATTTTTGATGATCTCAAAATACTGTATTACAATCAGTTTAGAAACCAGTTCTTGTGGGAAACTTTGGGGGTTAATTTTATTTCACTCTTTCAGGCAGCAACTTTCAAACTTTGCATGATATAGAAAGGCAGGATATAATCCTAACTGCATTCAAGGTTTTAGGTCATTTCTTATTGACCTAAAGAGAACTAGGTTCACTTGCTTTGATGTAGGACAAACTTACCTTTTCTTGTTGCACTGTTCCTTTGATATTCACTTAGATACCTTTGAAAAACAATAGTTTTAAAAACAAGAGGATCACATATCAACTTTGAAAACTGTCAATATTAGGTTTTTAAAAAAAGGTTTTTAAAACTATGACTTTCATAGTTCACTGGCTTTATAAGATGTTATATGGGTAAAACTTGTACATTTTGACTGTTTTAATAAAACACTGCCCAATTTTCATACACGGCATGTGTTTGGAATGGCTGGGTTGTACTTTCTTGCCTAATATTCTCTTTTCCTGATCTTGGCTTGGCTACATTGCCTGTAGCAGTGGTTCCGAACCTCAGATCCCCAGATATTCTTGGACCACAACACCCAGAAACCCCAACCAGCACAACTAGTGGTGAAGACCTCTGGGAGTTTTAGTCCAAGAACATCCGGGGACCCAAGGTTGGGAAACCACTGACCTATATCAACGGGGTGACTTCAAGGTGCTTTAGGCTGCAGTTTCTTTCATCCTTAGACAATGCTGGCCAGGGAGTTTTAGTCTGAAGTCAGCATCTGGAGGTTATGAGTTTGCCTAGGCAAAGAATGGTGAACCTTTGGTATTCCAGATGTTTTGGATCTCGACTCCCACAAGTCCTTTATCATTAGCAATATTGGCTGGGGTTTCTGGGAGCCGAAGTACAAAACATCTGGAATGCTAAATATTTACCACCTTGGTATATGCAGAACAAATTACCCTTTTAAAAAAATTGGCTCAAATTGGGAAGATATGCACCTAACTCAATGGGGATTTAATAATCCCCAGATATTTTTGGACTACAGCTCCCAGAAAGCCTGACCACAGCTAGTGGTGAAGACTTCTGGGAGTTGTAGTCCAAGAACATCCCATGACCCAAGGTTGGGAACCACTGTTATAAGCAATTGGGCTGGGTTAGACTGGGCTGAGTGAGTGTCTTAGAATCATAATTATTATACAGTATGCAGTCAAGTTGATTCTGATTTATGGTGACCCTTCCTGGGTCTTCTAGGAATACTGTAGAGTACTCAGGAAGGATTTAACTAGTACCTCCTGGGGTTGCTCTGAGATCATATACCTGTCCCAAGGCCTTAAAAACTATCCTTTCTCTAACAAGACAAAGTGGGGCATTAGACTCCAAATACCTTGCGCTTATGGTGTAGTGGTTAATCTGCAGTACTGTAGTGAAGACTCTGCTCACAACATGAGTTTCCATCCTGGCTCAGGTTGCTGATGCAATGTTGACTTAACCTTCTACCCTTCTGAGGTTAATAAATTGAGTACCCAGCTTGCAGTTCCATCTGCAATGTGTTGCCTGTATAATTAAATTGTAAACTACTCAAGAGAGTGTTTTAAGCACATTGGGACAGTATATTAGCAGCACACCTTGCTTTTGCCTTGCTATAACCAGGTGTTTCTATTTAGTGAGCTACCTAGCCAGCTGTCACAAAAAAACAATGTATTTAGAGAAGGTATCTTTTAATTTCATGGTAATAGGGGACATCAACAGAACAACTACCCCTGTGTCCTACCACATGCAATTTTCTAAAATTAAGTTCTACTTAAAAATGCTTTTTCATCTGTTAATGTTGGATGAATCTCTCGATAACTGTGGATCACTAATTTTAGTAGACAAAGCAGTTCCTGCATATAATTGCTTAGCTGCTTTGCAGTGTTAGAGCAGAGATTATTTTTAAATTATTAATGTTCTGAGATTTATAAAACTGCAGATTATGCACAGAAAATTTCTAAAAATATAACTGAGCTAGCTGTTTTGCATTAACTACATTTGCTGAGTTCACTTTGGCACACATAAAAAGCACATCTCTCTGATTTGATTTTGAAATAATTAGAATGTTAATGCTGCAGTAGACAATGTTATTTGGTAGCTCACAACCTGGTGAACAAAAAACAAGACTGTAACAAGCTACACAAATTCTTGGTCTTCTCTTCAGATCTATTATATGAAATTTAAAAAACTACACCTTCCAAATAACTAAAGAATAAAAAGAAGCAAACATTTCTGAAAATGATGGAAGTCACAGTAAAAAGGTTTTGCATAGCTGTTGTTCTTTGGTGAGAGATGGAACTGAAATCTAAGCAGTATTAAGCTTTTTGTGAAGCTCAACAAACTTTCCTGCTTTAATGCCATGACACAGCTGGCTTGCATTCTATATTGGCATTTATTCATAGGAGGGCTCTCTTCAACCATGTTAAGTGACTCTGATCTGCCATTGGTGGAAGGAGTAAATGGCTTTGACCTGGTGCTCCTTTCTGCTTGCATCCCTCCTCTGCTACCTCTGGTTGAGCCTTTGAGAGATATTCCAGTCCTCAGATGCAGATTATCAGAGAATGCATCAGGAAAAGAGAAACTAGTCCAGATCACTTGCTCTTATCAGCAGCACGAATGTCCTGTGGGCAGAATCTACTCATGGGGAATTCTATGGCAAGTCACATGTGTATGCTAGCACATGAAATTGTATTGCTGGGTATGTCTGGAACAGACATAAATGGTTCTGTTTTATTGATTGCAATTTCCAACACCCAGATGGAACTGCAGCTATGTCCCTCAGGTTAGCTACTGAGAAACCTGAGCCTATTTATGCTTCATGGACATTAGGTTAATGTGCTCAGTGGGACTTGCCCTCCAGGTAAGAGTGTACAAAATGGTGCCATATGTACTTGATACTTGCCCAGTTGTGAAAGAAAAATATGTAAAACTTGAAAGTGGAAATAAGCATTATAGTAAGATTGTATTAACTGGCTGAGAACAGAATGTGGACCTCACCAATATTATGTAGAAAAGGAATAAGATCCTTACTCAGAAACCCCTGTGTTTTGCCTAAGGAGTAACAGGAAATGGGTCTATCCAGGTAGATTTTATAGTAGTACAGCTGCTGTAGCAGAGAAAAGTATCAGCATCATGATACACAGCCAGAGCAATATCTGCAGGAAAGCAAAACACGTGTATCACAGTATTTAAATACATATTGTATTTATTAGTTACAGAAGCAGCATTCTCTTCCAGTAATTAATATACCTTTGAAATACAGAGTAAGTCAGGCTTATTTATATAGTTGGAATCAGCTGGCTGACCTTTATAACTGGACAAAATATATTTTTCCACCTAGAGGGGGAACATGAATAGTCTTGTGATGTTACAGTTGTCTTTACTGTTGCCTGTAAGCATCTCCAAATGATCTGCTGGTGCCTGAGAGCATGGAGTGAGGGAAATGGTGTAGTTCTCGATCTGGTATGGCCAAGTAACTGCCCTCTGGTGTTGCTGTTTCCTAGAAAGTGAGCTCCCAAAAGTAAGCTTCTCGAATACAAAAATGAAGAAAAGGATGTGGGGCTTGGGCTCCGAGACGAAAGAACAACCAGCCCAGTAGATGGCATCCTTTTCAGTCACTGAGTTACTCATCACAGTTTTATATCTATGGATTATTTCTTTGCAGGCAGCTCTACAGCCCTTAGAAAGGCAGGAAGAAACACAGAGGAGCATTGTGGTGGCACCTTAAAAACCGATGTGTTGTATTATTGTTACTGCTATTTATTTGATTTATACCCAGGCCCTTTTTAGATATAAATCACCCCTCAGACTGAGATACAAACCTGTATAAAGACACACAGTTAAAATTGCAATTTCCATACATCTAAAATCAGAAGCGACAAACTATTTAAATGCACACGTTAGGTGTGTCTGCTAAAATACAGTAAAAGTGGCGCATCCGGGAGTTAAAAACCAATTTTGTTCTCATGTGCCATCAAGTCAGAACTGACTTATAGCAACCCTAACAGGGATTTTAAGGTAAGTGGGATATTTAAGGAGTGGTTTTACCAGTTCTGCACCCCCAGTGAGTTTCCATGGTTGAGTAAGGATTCAAACCCTGTTCTCCAGAGTCTTAGTTTGTTACTCTGTCCACTAGGCCACACTGAGAATCCAATGAAGGAGTATGACTGACTTTGTGACCACTAAGAGCCCAGTCATAAATTGCACTGAAAAAAAATACTGCAAAACTATTAAAGTCAGATGGAATTTAGAGATGGGACATATGGGTCTGCCCTCCTGCTTCCCTCAAAAGTCTGGGTGAAGCAGCTACAATGGAATTCTGAGAGAGTTGGGAGAAGGGTGATGAGAAGGATCTGGCAGGGCTGGAAGAGAACCTGTTGCTGAGGTTGAAGAATGGTGGGGAGGAAGCTTCGGGATCTTCTGGGCCTGGGACATCTGGGGGGAGAGACCTGGGGGCACAGTGACAGAAAAGCTGGAGCCCATCTTTGATGCTGCAGCTAAGTGGGCCTTGGAGTGAGAGGACAACCCCTGGCAAGAGATTCTGAGCAGCTTCCTGGTGACTAGGGGCTGTGGTGGATAAAGAGGGGCCCCTGCCACCTCAGCCCTGGAGAAGGCTTCTGGACTGATAGCTCCATGGCACCTGAGATACTTGATGGGTCCTGCTGTGCCCATCCCCATCCAGCTAAGGTGCTGCTAGTGTGAACATCAGCATGAGAGAAGGAGGAGGCTCCTTGAGGTGGAGGGCAACAGCAAATGCTCACTGCCAGATGGCCTCAGACTTGGCTTGTTCCTCATCAGGACTTCACTGGCCTCAGTGCTGGGAACTCAGGCCACTACTGAACTGTTTTCAGGGGGACTTAGTCCCCTGGGGTGTGGGTGGGCGCTGGCAGAGAATCTCTGTTGAAGGCACCTGATCCAATAAAAGTTCTCTATCTATCAACTTGGAGCTGATGGACTTACTGACAGGAGACTCCCCATAGCTGCCATAATTTCAAAGGTGACAAAATGGTTGTCACAGCACAGACTTGAAAAGCTGTGACCCCTAGACCACTAATCCAAGTGAAGCACATGGAAATAAGTGGAATTATTAGAGAAAGGGTGTGCCTTCCTGACAGTTGCCCACTTTGATCTTGGATAAAGTTCCAGGCTATTTTAGTGGAACATTTGCATTACAGCAGTGGCTTGCACAAAATAATTTTATATCACTGTGAACATCTCCTGTGGTTCATTAGAATTGGGCAAACTGTTGGTCCAATAATTCTGTGAAGAGATCCATAATGGACCATCTTAGTGCAAGTATTCTGTTCTTCAAAATTCTTGAACCAGCAGTCAGAACTGTCATATTGTATTTCATTTGTGCAATGTGTTATTTGTGCACAATTCAGTTATATTTGCACAGCACAACTTGGTTACAAAATGTTTCTTTTCCTTGAAAAATTGGCACCGTATT